AATCTGTCATTTACGTGGAGTGTCTGAATATTCTTGTGGAGGCTTTTGCTTTCCACAAGGACCAAACGTTGCAAGGATCAGAAGTCGTCTTGGAAAGACCTTTCAGTAAACGAGCACAACGCATGTTGCCGAACAAACCACGTGCGTATTTTATTACAATATTTTCAGATGCGACATAGCAACTAACTATGGCCGATGATAATATTCGCGAGTTTTCCATTATTGGATTTGCATGTGACATTCAGTTCCACTTAAAGAATTGGAAGTTCTGACCCCGGAAGCGAAGCTTATCAAGTTCGCAATATCTATGACATCAAAGGCTCGTAGTGAGGAACCGAACAGAGCGCATGCAATCTTCAGCAGCGAATTTATCATGGCAAAATAAGAATTCCGGTTATGCGTCATACCCTGTACGGGTATGATAGTCACTTGATGATACAAGTAAAGGTCATCGGAATTCAACGTTCACCTGGTCACAACGGCCACTGTAATTTTCGCTGGCAAATTTCGTATATACCTGTCATGTAATTATGGTCACCTGTTAGGGGCCAATTATTTGTTAACCAAGGAGTGGTTTCACCCTTCCTTCTGCAGTCACTGGAGGGTATCAGTAGTGACTGCTTAAGTTTGAAAATTAAACTTCTATTCACCTTCTCTCCACAGACTAGATTATTTCGACTTCAACTGTCCGATTTGTGTGTATTCCGACTCCACCACTTAGAGATTCTGGACTCAGTTGAACCGGAAGTTTTCCGTCCCCTAAAAAGCTTCTTCTTCGAAGCTTTTTCTTTCCTTACAATCCACCTATAAGTTTTACCGCTAACTACGAGTGTTATCTCTATGAGCAACCCTATTGCTAAGAAATCTTCCCAGGCAAAAATAAGTTAGTTTACGAGTTATGAAAGTTATCTTTCGGATTTTAACTGTAATCATACCCTCTATCTCAATTCCGATTGGATGTCGCTTTAAACCGATCCAATCAAAATTGGCAGACAATTTTCCTCTTGCTGTGTGGCAAGGTGGGGACGGTTGAAAACACGCCTCGTCCACCCTGCAGGCTTCCCTCTGATCTTAGAACTAATCTTTAACACCCAGGTGTAATATATACAAGCCTTTGTCAAATGATGCGAACGGTCGCCTACGCCAACTAAAGTTTTCGGACTCCGGCCGGACACGGTAACCTTGAGTATAAGATCAACATTATCCCGTGAAATACTTTCCACATCAAATACATGGCCGCGGTAATCTTATCGATTGCTTATACATGACTTTATAGCTGGGTCTTAGCAATCGTGACACCGATTAGAAATGGAAAGTGCGAGTACTAGGTCAGATGTCATCAACAATGTAGTTTCGCCTTGTCTACAGCGGATCAAAGATATAAAAATTATTATACTCGCAATTTCTCAGAACAATAAATCGTTTTACTATCGATTTCATGCAGATATGACTCAATGTACCTTATCATCGTTTGCTATGCCCGCTGGCAAGTGGCCACCATATGCCACCAACGCACAGTTTTCTGCGAAAACGAATTTGTGTCAATATTGTCAGGGACAGTGATCAACGAAAACTTCACAGGTTGATTGCCAAGCCGGCTTTTGAGTCAAGCAAACTATTAAATGGCTGATTGGTAGCAATTAACAATAAGAAATCTCGGCTGATGCTGCCGAAACCCATTTACGTTAACGCGACTGAGTTTGATCAGACAACGCTATTCATATACATGTTCTACTAGACCCAAGCAAGCAGTGGAACGGAGTGAACATCAACATACTGTACACGGATACGAACTCCTTGCTGGTGCACATGACTACCATTGGTATCTACGCGAACATGGGTGCCGCATTGCTCGGGTGTGAATTTGATAGCAAATAACCGAAGGACATTCCGCTGTTCAATAACACCAACACTTAGGTTGTGGGAAAAATTCAACGACGAGTGCGCAGGCAAGCCTATAGAAGAATTCGTGGGGCTGAGACCCAAAATAAACTCGAACAGGGTTGGCTATGTTTCAGTTTTTCATTTATGTTTCAGTATTTCATTACTAAGATTTTGAATTTGCTTCAATTCTTACTCACTTTGTAATATTCTTGCTGTAATACCTTAATTTTCGCATTAATTTCTTGCAGTTTATCAAGAAGTCCCCGTTATTGTTGTCAAGAAGTTTCTGTCACCAAGAAAAGTATTCTCTTTTGAAAAGGTCTAACTCGTAATGTCTTATTTTATGTTTCGAGTACTAATGATTTTATCCTCAATTTTCGTTTTCAAATTTCAAACAGTATTCTAATGTGAACTTTTGTGTTTAATTTCTCTTTCGAAATAGTTCAGTTATAAGTTCTTTTAAGAACCAAATGTTTCATTAGGCAATTGTTATACTTCCAATATTCCTTGCCAACGTTTATGGGAGACTTGCAGACGATTAATAATATAAGTGCGTCATGGTCGAGCTTTGTACGGGTATAAGCAACCAATTAATTAATACTTTTGGAGACTTAAGCTCTATTTATCTTTCTAGCTTGTGCGACTGTTACTCAATCTCTTATACATTTATGCAAAGTGAATGCTTGTGTCTTGCGTTAAAGATGACAGACTGTATCAAAGAGATGAAAATCAGTTAATAAGTTTTGTATTTTTTTATGTTGGTGTGATTCCCATAATATGTATTATTTATTGTTCAAGACAGAGTTAAAGCCACCTGATGATATAACGTTGTGCTGTCTTGTAAAAAGTTGGTACAAACTGTGAAGCGTTGGTGGCATAAATATTAATTACCTGATAGGGAAGATCATTAACTATCAAGTTTACAAATACTCTATCAATTATTTTGAGAGGAACATAGATGTTCATAATTAATTTTGGAAGGATACTTTTATCTGAAGCCCTTAAAAAAATATAAAGGTCGGATGATCTTTATGTTTGAACAAAACATGGTTTGAAAAGGTGTACTATTTATAGAGTACTTCAGAGTAATTGGCAGTTCCTTTCATGATAAAAAAAAAATATTTTAAAAAATAAAAAATCAGAATACCATTCTGTGTTGGAACGCTCTTTCTACAATATGTAGGGGTCCTTAAAAAAACAAAACACAAACTATTATGTTGGAGCACTCTTTCTAGAAATATGCAGGGGTCCTTAACTCCGTGATATCATATGTGAATTACCTATCTAGTTCCAATAATAAATTTTTGAAAAACCTTGGATTGCAAAAAAAGACGTTGGCGTAGAACTAAAAAACGTTGCAGAAATATTTATGGTATCTAGGTGAAAAACAGAATTATTTGAGCTTAAGCAACAATTAAATGGAAAAGTTATTTTATCAACGAAACCAATCAGTTTGGATACTGCATTTTGCCTTTTATATAAAAATTGCAAAAGATCATAATCCACTTTGGTATAGGCATAGATTACGGCATTGAATTCTTGCAACAAACATCTTTCTAGAAACAAATAGAAAAGCCAATGATAAGAAATAATCTTTTAGTACGGATTAACCTAAGACATAACTTCCTCTTTTTTTTAGGACTGTGAAACTGTGAAATAGTCGTAGAATGATTTAATCCAGTGGATTAGGACAGAAACCCACTAATTTCTTCATGCGAGAATATATATATATATATATATATATATATATATATATATATATATATATATATATATATATATATATATATATATATATATATATATATATATATATAACGTGAATAATACTATCATATAGGTTCGAGATTTTTAATTCGTACTCTATGGAGTTTATTTATTAACTTATTAGTATAGCACAGCCACAATTTTTGTTTATTGGTTAAAATGGTTTAGCGATATCTATGAAAATTAGTTGATACATCTGCAATCTAGAATTATCTCATCGCTATATTTTCTACAGATACTGTTTGAGCTAGTTGTATAAGATTTATACGTACACCTATTGTACACTTATCTTTCTTCCAATACTTTTGTTTCTTAGTCTTCTGGTCGATACTATCTTTTCTTTTCTAGAAATTTCTTTATATATATATATATATATATATATATATATATATATATATATATATATATATATATATATATATATATATATATATATATACACACACAAAAAAACACATACGTAGATGGGTGGGTGGGTGTATGGTGTGTGCTTTAAGTTATCCTCTTTTCTTTTTGTACTTTTCCCCTTTTTAATAGCTCAAAGTCTGGCTGATTGAAACCTTTATAAAGCAGACACGACATGGGTAGAAAAAAAAAGGAATTGTAAGGTGGTCAGTAGGATGGCTTCCCAAATTAGGGCTACCTGCTTACCTATTAAAATATCTTAAACTCAAGGTCACGGTGTGAGATAAATTTGCTGAGGATTCATGCTTCACGTATATCGTCTGATAGTTGATTCGTATTTAAGAACACATGGGGGATAACGTCCGTATCTATTACGTAAGAGTACGACGATAGACCCAATTCTGGACACAAAGACTCAGCATATATGCGGCTTAACCATTTAGCAAGGATGTCAATTCAAAGGGAAATCTACTATCAGACCGAACGGGTAGTGACTCCGGTGTTTTTGCAACCAGTCAGTGATGTCACGACTGGCTTGGAGCAAGTTTGGGCTTTTGGGGACCGGAAAACCTAGATGAACAGGTAAGTGCTAAATTACCGCAGGGCAGGTTCAAAGTTACCAGACCGTATCCAATCAAAACTGAGCAAACGGACCTAATCCATTTTTCAAGCAGTACCTGTGTGAACGTCGCCAGAGGTGGATCTTAGAGAAATTGCGCTCATTAAAAGGAGAGAAGGAAGTTAAGTGAAATTCTAGATAAGAAGTATTCCTGAGGCAACATATCGTCGACCGAATTTGTCTCATTTTCTTGACAGGGTGTTGTAAGATTCATAAATATTATGTGCATTTTATTTACTAGAAATCGAATCTCTTATTTATAGTTGAATTTATTAACATATGGTAAACTAACGCAAAGCAAATTATTAACATGCAAGATTAACGTACCTCTCCGGTGGCCTAGTGTTTAGAGCGTCCGCCTCGGATGCAGGAGGTCGCGGGCTCGAACCCCGGCCGAGTCACACCAAAGACTTATGAAAAAGTTACTAACAGCTGCTTCGCTCGGCTCTCAGCATTAAAAGGTTAGTGTTAGTGTTAGGACTGGTCGGCCTGGTGTCAAGAAAATGTTACATGATATGCTACATGTCTGCGGCTTGATGCCCCTGTAGATCGACATCACTATAAACTGCCACACTGCAGACGTCATATCGATATGATTGAAAAATTGTTAAAGCTACGTTAAAAATCTAAACACGATTAACTTAGGTAGATTATCAGACTGGAATTGAAGTAGATGTTGTAATTTGCTACTATGTTGTAAGTAATGCTTAATTGAATGCATTGACAAATTATGTTGTTACTTGCATTTGCTTTATTAGTAGATGAATATTTAGATTGTGAACTATGCTTAGTTAGGCATCGTTGGACTTGTGCACATATAAATAGGTATTTTTATATTTATCTGATGTTCTTTATAATTCGAGTTGGAATGCATATGATTGCTGTTGATGATAAGTTTACTATATCGAGAAGTTAACAATTTGGGATGTATCTGCCTGTCTTAGAAGTCGTTAAAAATGTTATTATTGTTATAGCACAATTATAATAGATCAAAATACGTGTTTGGAATATTTAGATGTGAGTTGACCTAATAATTTATTCGTCCTTATTCTGATGAAATGTCGGTTAGAGTGGTTACTGAGATTAAAGCAAGGAGGCAAGATTATACGTGTCTTCTAACTCCACAGGAAGCCTTCCGGGTGGGTGTAGGTAGAGTCGACCTCACATGATCCAAGAGAGGGAAGACACGTGGAGTGTGAAGTTAACAGCTTGGGTGGAGGCGCAGTGCCGGAAGGAGCACGTGATAGAGAGTACCGTAAGTGTTAAAAGGATAGAGTACGTATTCAAGGGTACCGGAAGTAATAAAAGAGAAAACGAGGGGACATAAATTGACCGATTAGTAACAGAGACCACGCCAAAAAGAAACACTCGGACTTAAAGACCTTTAATTACATACGATAAAATAGTAATTGGCAAATGTGAATGTCATTGACAGTATTTGTTCGAAAGAAATTGCGATTGAGAAATTTGTTAATGAAATTTTTAAATACATTCTATATATTTTATTTGTTATGTATATTTAATTTCAATGTTTCTTTGTTTAACATTGTTTAGATTTCATTACATGATATTGTAATATAGCATTATATGTTTGACTTGACCTTGTCCAAAAGTGAGTTCTTTCTGCTTGACCTTATTTTTTTTTATTTTATTCATTGTAAACAATAATACACAGAAACATTATTCTCTCCGTGTCTGGCTTAATACATCTATCACGATCATTATTAATAGAAAAGGTACATATGGTAATCTGGGTCAACGTTTTGGAGTTTCCAAAGTGAATTATACATAATCCAGGTAATTATTTTGCAAACATCTGGATCATTCTAGAAGGTTGTTTTTCCATTAGGTGATTTTTTTTATAGAAAATGCTAATTGTGACCTGAAGTCAGGTAGAAAACTATATAATATTGTGATTGTGAGATTGGTCATTCGTGTTTTAACATCAAGCACTTTCAAGTTGTATTATGTTTTGGCCAGTTGGGCTGAATTTTATTTTCTTCAGGTTATTGAATTCAAGTGTTTATTTTCTCTGGAAAGACAAAAGTGCTATTATAGAATTCTTGGATAATTACATTCACTTGAATTTATACTGAATTTAAATCTAGTATTAACTTACTGTTATTAAACAAATGACTGTTGATACATAAACACTCTATAAGCTATAACATGCAAGTCATCACCTTCAGTTTTGGATTTCTTCGGGACATGCACCAAATTGTATTCAGGACTTTAAATTACTGGTACTCGTGTCTTTAATTCTGGGATTTTTTGGAATTAAAATTTCCAATACATTATGTTTTTTTTCTTGTCATTTTCACTTTGTAATCTAGGTAAATAAATTATTATTTAAATCTTAAAAAGCTTGTTGCCTTTTGTTCTTTTCTGTTACTTGTTTTAAGAGCATAGACTCGTAACATATTAAATTGTTATACAATTTACCTCGAGTTATGTATACACATATAACGTCGGCATTGCTGACTGGATTCTCGGAGCTATTTAAATTTTAATTTGATCGTGAAAAACCACAAGCTCGTTCTGGTCTACACAGACGACAAAAATGGTTACCCAAATCGATCCCGTCGGTTTTGGTGGCAAACCTGATTAAATCCACGTTGGCGTTTCCCTTTTGAGTCGATATGTTCAGGCGTCATTGAATGTTGACGGACTTTTTGCTTATACTTAGAATCGTCGCTTCTAAGTGACAACACAAAATCGAGATGCCTGGAGCACATTTAGTTCGCCAAGGATGTTCACATATTGGACTATGTAGTCGAATTTTCATTTTCAGCGTTGAATGAAGCAGTGGTGAAGGAACTTTGTTTCTCGGTGTGAAGCATCTAAGTAGATAATCTTTGACTTCACTTAGGAGTCAAATTGCAATAGATATTGTGGTGTTACCGCATGTGTGACCAAGTGAGTTCCAGACACGATTGACAAATCCGAGATGACGATTCCAAGTTCATTCTGCATAAAGATCCCTCGGAAATGTTTGACTTCTTATCACCAGTAAATCAAAACAGGTCAACAGACAGACCATATTCGAGGCATTCTTCAACGTAGTCGTCGTAGTGTAAGTCCAACTCAAAGAACTTTTTGCTACAAGTCAAAGACCTTTTTTTATTTGTGGACGTTGAGCGTCACGAGAACCGATGCTTTGAACATGCCGACTGCCTTATTCAGAACCAGACGGCCCATTGCATAGTTTCTTTTTCCAAACTGCGGAAGACGAAGCCTTCAATGGTGTCGAAATTACCGCGAGTAATGAAAATATTCCGCCGTTGTATTTTCATCGTGGCGACCCCAGCCGCTGACAACATATAATTATCCAGGGGCTTTAATGCTTGGCTGCTTGGAACATCAGTGGGATGGTCCTGGATAACTTGTCTCGGAAACGTTTCGGGTCGTTTCTTCAACGTAACTTTGATCCTTCCGATTTGACACAGGCTTAGTATGACAAGTTTAGTTTGGTGCGAGACTTTTTATTTCAAAAGTAACATGTTCAGTTAGAATTTTGTGAAATAGAAAGAGTTTGCGAAAGCGTCTTTGAGTTTTCCACATTCGTCTCAGTGATCCTCATTCGATCACCTTTACCCTCCAACAACAGAGACCTGTCGGAAAGTATTGACACCAAGCACATTTACAGTGTTTTTAAGGGAACGTCAATCACTATCTAAACAGGTCAAAGTATTCCAACGAAAAGTAATAAATAAGGTACACTTTAGTAACGTGGTACTGGGAAATTAGCATATCCGTGTTAATATTTTCAGCCTGGACTAAATTTTGTGATATGGCTGTGCCACTTGACTGACTTTCCAATCAATCAAAATTTCGTTGGACAGTTACCGATGCCTGCTTAACCGCTGAGAAACTTCAGATACACCTAACTGGTTAAATATCATTACATTACTGATCTATCCGCCTGATTGACATTTTAAACGCCACGATCACGTATCTTAATACGCTGATACCTGTTAGGTACTTTTTTGCAATTAAAACTGTCCCATAATGAAGCTTTGTATCCAGTCAATTTTGAGCTCGGAAACGATAACGTTTACGAGGCTCCGGATTCAATAAATGACAAAAAAAGTGCATCGGTTAATGATAGGGTGTCACAGGCATCCATATAGCCTATTTCATACCGGATTTAACCGAGTTCCTCCGGAATTATCCGAAAAACCTCCCGAGTCACTTTATACTCCAGCCAATCAAACGCTGGTAGGCATCTGTACATAACAAAATGGCATACATTGTTGTTTAGACGTATCAGATTAAAACAAATTAAGAAATGCCCGCTACCTGCCCGCTAAATGCCTGGGACTTCTGCAGCTTTACCGTCGAAAAATATTCCAGGTTTGATATACTGCGGATTAATACGAAAAATTCCTTGTATTGGTAAATGAAACTCGATTTATGAAAGCGGTGTTATGGTGAAAAAAAGGGATTAAATTTTTAACATCGACACCGTTTCCATACTCACATGTATAGGTCCAGATGTAAACAGCTCATAGCTACTCTCTCAAATGGCTATAAAATCCAGAAAACAAGACAGAATGGTTCCAATATTAAATTTCGTCAATATCTGTGGCATCATCGCTGTTGAATAGGCTTTTTTCAACTCTATAAACGAAGCTGAAGTAGTTAAAACAGTTGATGCTAATGCTGAATTGTCCGCCTTGTTTTGACCTCTAGTCTGGTCCCCTGCTTAGTATACTCCCTGCGATGCACTCCGCTATACTATATACTAGGGAGCATACTAAGCAGGGGACTAAACTATTTGCCTACCAGCTATGGATTGGATATTGCGGTCAGTTGACCACCCGCCACATGATCAAAATTCCGAGCAAATTACGAAGTCCGCCGAAGTCTCCATGAAATGGTCTATTGTCGATTCCGACTACCCAACATACGTTTGACTCAGAAAAAAAAAACAAACTTAGCGAACCTCTATTCAAAACGAGTTCAGGTGGACAAGTTGTGATATATTTATTTACCCACGAATAGGATAAGTTTCAGTAGATGGTTTGTTGTGTCAAAGTTCACCAGAATGATATGTTTCTCCAAGAATAATCAAGTTGGTGTTAAATGGACGCGGTCGTGCGCGTACGTACAAATACTCCCTAACCGTGATCTTGCCATGAAATACAAGGAAACCGAGCAGTTGACGTCCAAAGATTCAACAAGTATCGCAGACTCCTTCAAGAGCATTTACAAAGGTGGACCCTAACACAGCTGAGGCTGCTACAGGTGGATTCGGGCAAAGAATTTATGCTGCTGCCATGTTGACGAAACGTCGTATCTGGATTCTAAACCGGCATGCAGGCATGCATTGTGATAGGGATATGGTGGAACGACTCTAGGGCACTAGCTGAACAATTATTACGGCATCAGTACGCACATG